ATAGATGAGAACACCCGAAGACGGTCAGTGCTTATGATGGTGTTATAATGTTATAAATAGCGTGTTTTTGGAAGTTTTTTTGTTGAAACTTCTTCCAAATCCCTCCAGAGGCCGTGCACGTCGCCGGTGAATGCACACGGCAGGTCAAGGTCAGTTACATCTCAAGTACCAGAGCGTGATTGGTTGTCCTTTCGTGACTTACTCTGGAGGTTGGCGCTAATGATGCTTTGTTGTCGTCAGTCAGGAAGTTGATGCCCTTGCCAGTATGGTCGTCTCCTTTACCACCAACGAACGAGAATGGGCTAACCAGTTAAGATTCGGGCTTTGGAAAAACGTCCTCGATTCATAATCTCGGTACATATTGGTTATTCCGGCCCCGGATATAAATAAACTTAAAAACAACACACACTTTTTGTTTGGAAAACAAAACAAAAAAAAAACAACACATTTTTCTGTAGTATATACGAAATTCCCTTCTTATGCCGCGGATTATTTAGAACATAACATATAAGGTTTTTTTTATGGATTTTATTCAAATAACATTATCACTTCAGCGCCCCCGCAAATTATTCGTTTTTTCCAAAATAAATTTCGTAAGATATGTTTGATGAATTCCCGATTGCTAAACTGTTAAGTCTTCGATATTATATATATATATATGCGTTTTTTGTTGTTTTTTTAAGCCTCTTATTTTAATACTTCTTTATGTGTATCTCATAATCTGTATTTGAAAATTTTGAATTCTAATACACATGGACTATCAAATTATTATGCGTTGCCCTTAGAATTGAATTAAACCTTTCTAATTACCACAATACGGGATCATTTTCATTTGGATTGACTGATTCTTTTGCGTCTTTTCTTCTGAAATAATTATTTCCTTGTTTAATAACATATTTGACCAACATATTTCTGTCAAATTTAAACTGTTCACTTTTACAGCTATAATGATTATGGCGGTTTATGAGCGTTTTTCCGCGTCACAGCCTCCTAGGGTTTACTAATAAGTTAGTTTTCTTAGTTATCACGCAAGCACGATCCATGTCTCTTGATGTAAGCGACAATTTACCATTATTTGTCTTTAAAAAATATTAAGGACTATTAGATGGTTTATATCAACAAAGAACATGCATTGATATTGAGACTACTGGTGTTGCAAAACGTTCTAGTTAATGGACCCGTCATAAAAAGTTAGGTCGCTGCGAAGTAATTGAAAAATTTTTATAAAAAATAATAAAGAATATTGCTACCTAATAAAAAGCCATTTACTTATAAATTTTTCATTTTATGCTTCTTTTGTTAAAAAAATTATTGGATAAAATTTATTATTGTAGAAGGGTTTTCATACCAGAACTATTTTATTACAGGAAGCGTACGTATGCCTAAACCTGATTACCGCGGCAGTATTGACGTCACGGAGTTAGTGATTTTTGAAAAAAATAACAAACATAAAATCAATTAATTTTTTCAGAGAATTATTATTCTGATATGAAATTAAAGAATGAAAATATTTTCATATTGTAAATGTCTGTGATGAGTGATCAGTCAGCTTAGAAAAAAATCAAGGTACTATTTTTTGACCTGATTACCGCGGCAGTAAGATTTGACAGATGGTATTAACATTGGGGAGGCTATTGCTGTTATTAAGTCAATATTGCTTCCTTTATTTACTCATTGTTTCACAAGCCTACCAACACCAAATACTGTATTTTTGAAAACACTTAATGACTTATTTTATGATTTCATTTGGGAAGGCAAGGCAAAAATAAAACAATCAGTACTTATTAAAACATACATAGAAGGTGGTTTAAACATGGTTGATATTTATAGTTATATACATAGTTTAAAGATGAAATGGTTTAAAAGATATGTTAGTAATAGCAAAAGTAAATGTATAAGCTAGTAAACACATTGTTTAATATTGATAAAATTTTTTAACACTGGAAAAATGTTTTGTAATTTGGATTATTAGTAAAAAATAACAAATCTTTCTGGATTGATGTTTTAAAAGCTTATATGGTGTTTGTAGATAAACTTTGTATAGATAATATAGAGCAAGTATTACATATTGCCACTTTTTTATAATCACAACTTTTTAGCAGGAAATTAGATATATTTACATTCAGACATTATATAATAAAGGAATCAGATTTTGTAAAAAGATATTATATAATGAACAGGGTAACTTTTGTAAATTTGATATATTTAGAACTGGTCACAGGTAAACCTGTGAACTTTTTAGTACAGTATCCATAGTTTAAAAACAGGCAATAAAAATTGTACATGCAAAGTTAAATATTTCTTATTTAGTAACAGTTTTGCTTAATGTTCAATATCCTATAATAAACTGTTTATGTTAAACCTATTTTAACTATGAATAACAATAAGAATATGTTTATGAAATTATAGCTAAAAATTCAGACATACCTAAACAAGTCAAGAAAGGTGGAAACACTGTTTAAAGATAATAACATTAATTGGGCAGTTAATATATATTAGTTTATGTTTTCAAATGTTCTAAAGATTCATATATTCAGTGGTTCCAAACCAAGAATTATTCATAGTAACTTTAGCTACAAACTCACTTTTGTTTAAAATGAAAATTGTTTGATAATAAAATGTGTACTTTTTGTAAATGCTGTGAAGAAACACTTTTACATTTATTTTGGGAATGTCAGAAAATTCAAAGCCTATTTCAATTTACCTTAGAGAAAACTTACATAATTTTGACGATGTTCTTTGTTGTAAAATCATTCATATTAGGTACAGAAAATAAAGATTTTAAATATGAACATTTTATTTGTAGAATTGAAAAATATATTTATTTGTCAAAGAGAAAAAACTTTTACTACATGTATTGGTTTTAAAATAGTTTTTGAAATTTTAGCATGGAATTATCTATAGAAATACACATTTGACAGATGATTAAAATAATAGATGTCAATTATAAGATCCTTTAATTGCTTAAACTACACTTAATATGTGAAAACAAAACTTTTACCTCGTAACAGATTGTTTTAATTGTTTATTAATAAGTAGTAAAATTTTTTTTGGTAAAATATTTTTGGAAAAATAGATGGGTTTATTGTATGTATATTGTATGTATGTTGTTTATATTTATATGCAAATATATACTGTAGATGGGGGGGGGGGGGGTAGGGGAAATGGGGGTCACCATTATATTTTTTGTTTTGGTTTATATCCTTTTCAAATTAATTCCAAATGGTAGATATATATATATATATGTTTGGCGAATGCCATACAGTACTAGTTAGATAGCATTTTACATTTCCCAAACTGCAGTAACAATATCATTCAAATACGGTAAGTGAAATCATGCGTAAAAATTAAGCTCGTTTTTAATGACTTTACATCTATATATGAAAACATTTTACACTGTTATATATGTAAAACCCTGTCACACCGCAAGAACTTTGCTGGGGTGTTCCTGGAGCGGTGTAACAAATTCATCACCGCTCGTTACCGCTCATAAGAAGTTGGACCCCGTTAAAGCAACGCCGTATACGCTCGGCCACCGCTTATGGTCATTGTTACCGCTCTGACAGTTTTGAGCTGCACAAAATGTTGCGAGCGGTGAGGAGTAGGAAATATTCCGCTCCGGCAAAGTTCACCACCGCTACAGTAACACCCAGTCAAAGTTTGGCACCGCAAGCCGCAAGGTCATGGACGCTTGGGTTCGCTAGGCCAACGCAAAAATCTTGAACGCTGGACCACCGTTGCTTCGCCAGATTGGCCCGGGTTGTGATGAAACGTTGCACAAACTTCTGTAGAGCGGTTGTAAGCGTTTAACAAGCGGGAACGGGATTGCTGGAACGTTGTCGGGCGTTGAATATAAGAATCTTACACCGGCTGCCGGTACAGACCGGAATATCTAGCTCGAGGGTAACTGTTTACGGCGGTAACGAGGCTCTGCCGAGTTTCCGCTAAACAGTTACCCGAGAGCTAGATATTCCCGTCTGTACCAATTGCCGGTGTTTGATTCTTTTTCTTGCATATTACATGTCAATTATTTTCGGAACAGAAATCATGAAAACTGATATTCTCATTACGCACTTTTTTCTTATAGTAGCGTATGAACATACAACTTCATTCATAACGGAAAAATGACGTCATCCTTAGAACACGATTCATTCATAAACGGCGCGCGTCAATGACGTCATTGAAAGCACGCGACTTGTCTTACATGGGGGGTGTAAGACAGAGTTTTCCAGCACCGGTGTAAAGGGTAGATAATCCTGTCTGAGGTGCAAGAAGCAGCGATCAATTGCGATGATGGCGTCGGTATGGAGGTGTCGGAGCAGGACCAGAATTTGGCTATAAATACAGGGAGAAAAAGACCAGGAGCCAATTTTGAATCGAGCTGCAGTTGAGTGCAGACCTCATTTACATCGAGTTTGTTCAATGTTACAGTAAACTGCACTACCATGGATGCTGAGAGACTTGCTGTGATTGGTGCACTAGTCCAGCAACAGAATCAGAGCCTCCTCAGACTGCAACAAGCTGTTGACAAAAGAAGAAAGAGAAGGAGGAGAGAGAGTTGTGTGTGTCAGACAGTGGATACTAAGAAGGGTTCCGTACAGCTCCGTAGTCAAAAGCGGGATACCGCTTAACCAACTTTAAACCTCCGCCGAGTCAACGTTCGCATGCACAGAATGCCGCTCTATCAACGGTCGGGTCACCGCTAAACCAACGCTCGCTACCGTTAAGCCAACGCTATAGCAACGCCGGCTTCAAAGGTGCTCCGCTAAGGCAACGCCCGTGTTTTCGATTTTTTCCCATTTTGTGCACGGTGACGAGCGTTTATTGAAATTCCGTCCCTTCTCCCAGCCGTTCAAAGAACGCTCCAACAAAGTTTGGGCGGTGTGACCGGGTCTTAAAGAGCGCGTTTCATATCTTTCAAATAGAATGACCTTATTCCAATTTTAGTGACCCTAAAATGCGTTATCTTTAAGCAAGTATATTAAATTTTACTTTTTTCTTACTGGATTCGTTGATAACTTGTAGTCAGCTAGTCTTTGACATTATGGCTGGATGGGATTTAATTGATCTTAAACTTGTTGAATTTACGTATTTTATAACATTATGTGTTGTAATCTATTCTGTGGTTAGTTCATCGATTTGTGCATACTTGTTATCAGTGTTTACACTTTATGTATGTTTGAAAGTTATTCGTAAAAAATCTACAGAGACAATAGAGATTAAGCACCAAGGTGTTTTTATCACTGGTTGTGATACAGGTATATTTTAACATGTCGTACTTTAAATTTTGGAAATAAATATTAGCAAAAAAGAATTCCGCATGTTAAATTAAATAGTTTAAAATTCTCTTATTGTATTGTAGGCTCGGTGTAATGTAAATTCTACATAACTTAATGCTGAATAAGTAACAGAAAGAGCATCGAAACACGAGGCTATCTAATTAGTATGAGGGGCAAGTGTTTTGGTGTTATCAAAGTCAAACATATAACCACGTTCCCTGTTGTTACAATATGAAACCCCAGAAAAAAGAAACCAATGAACAAACATATCTGAATATGATATTTCTATCGCTTTCTCTTTCTCTGCCGTCACAATAAGTAAACCCCAGAAAAATAAGCCAATCAATAGGCATGCTCTGAAGTGCGGGTAACTTATACCTGCACTCCAGTTAACGCACTGTACACGTATATGAATACGATTTAACTCTGACAAAGGTCCTTTCGGCCCTTTACCAAATCGGCCCCAGAATAAGTACTGTATTTTAAACCGATATATTAATAGCATTTCATTAAAAAATTAATCAATTAATATATATATTTAATCATTTTGTATAAAAACCAGATTATTATAGTAGTAGGGGGAAAGTAATCAATACAAACAGAACAGAGCATAAACTATATTTGAAAAAAATATAATACACAAACAAACAATTATCAACCATATATAGATAATATTTTATTTGAATGATTAAGAAGCAAGACACAAAACAATACCGCCAATTAGCATAAAGTATAAACAGTTAATAAGTTACACTTTGAAAAAAATTACGTATAGTTTAATTAAGATCAAAAGATAGTGTTTTCTAAGGAAAAATTGTAAGTAACTTTCTTAATCCAGAAGTTTTAGTGGTTTGTTTTGTAAGTAAGTAACCGGCCTTTATTGTTTGTTACACCTTTAAAAACATTAACGTATATCTAAATGGTTCAAGAGATCAAAAGATAATAAATAATTATTCCAAGAATTAAAGTGTCATAATTGTTTAATTGTAATTAAATTTATTGTTGTTAATCAATCAAGCAATACACTACAGTGGGGCCGAAACGTCTCGCGGAAAAGGGCCGAAATGTCCAGGGGCCGATTTTTCGACTGGGGCCGATTTGGTTTGGGGCCGAAACGTCCTGTTTGCGTTAAAAAATATATATAATCGTATAATTAGTACCGAGTCCAATTCAATTCCAACAAAAGACATGATTCTGCATGGCCGACAAGTTTTAGCATGATTAATTGGTAAACCAACTAAAACACACCAGCAATTAAAATTTGTTAACCTTTTTCACACAGTTGTTAATTGTCCCCAACAAAAAAGAAATCATCTAGAATGTGTGCACAATTATATAAACCAAGTTTGTTTTCTGCAATTCACTGAATATCAGAACTGATCCTGTCAAACAATGCGCAAGAATAGCCCAGACCCATAGGTAAAGTAATAATATCTATCATTTATTTGAATCCAAGAAGTATCAAAATCATCTGGGTGTATAGGAACAATACGATAAGCATTGTTGATGTTTACTTTCATCATGTACGAATACTGACCACAAGCTCTGACTAATGAAACAGCTGTATCAATGTTTGGATAGGAAACCCTACAGTTATTATCTGGGATACCATCATTGAGTTCAATTTCGTTTTAAAGGCATGATAATTATCTGGATTTAAACAACAGACTTGAGTGAGTAAATTAACTTGACATTAATATAATTTATAAGAGAAATATTAATGTGATAATACTATATGATTAATACACATTAAGCATATATTGAAAAATTAATTGTTGTGTTAACTGGTAAAATAGTAATATATGACTGTGATTGAACATAAAAATATTACAATCTATGCAATAAAGTTACATGCAAACAAATTGAAACAATACAGCAAAGGAATTTACAATCTGATAAAACAAATACTAAATGTTTAAGCATAGAAAGGTACCAACAAATAACAAATGATTTAAAAAACTAAAAGAAAATTCATACTACAACTTTATAAAATAACAAAACAGAACAGTCTATATGGAAAGTGGCTTTAAAATTAAAGCTTTATCTCATATTCCTTAAAATTAAGGAACATTGACTAAGAAAAAGAACTCGTATTCCTTAAAATCAAGGAACATTGACTAAGAAAAGAATTTCAACTCGTTGAAAATTATCACCTTACAATTAAGGTGTATTTTACTAAAATAATATTTAGCATTAAACAATTACCTTACAACTAAGGCACATTTAACTAAAGTATTCCTTACAATTAAGGACTTTAACAAACTGTTAATTATTAGGGACTTTACGACTAAAGTCGAATAAACCACCTTAAAATTAAGGCGTATTTTACTAAAATAATATTAAGCATTAAACAATTACCTTACATTACAACTAAGGCACATTTAACTAAAGTATTCCTTACAATTAAGGACTTTAAGAAACTGCTAATTCTTTGGGACTTTACGACTAAAGTTGAATAAACCACCTTAAAATTAAGGCGTATTTTACTAAAATAATATTTAGCATTTAACAATTACCTTACCACTAAGGCACATTTAACTAAAGTATTCCTTACAATTAAGGACTTTAACAAACTGCTAATTCTTAGGGACTTTACGACTAAAGTTGAATAAACCACCTTAAAATTAAGGCGTATTTTACTTTAAACAATTACCTTACAACTAAGGCACATTTAACTAAAGTATTCCTTACAATTAAGGACTTTAGCAAACTGCTAATTCTTAGGGACTTTACGACTAAAGTCAATAAACCACCTTAAAATTAAGGCGTATTTTACTAAAATAATATTTAGCAGTAAACAATTACCTTACAATTAAGGCACATTTAACTAAAGTATTCCTTACAATTAAGGACTTTAGCAAACTGCTAATTCTTAGGGACTTTACAACTAAAGTCGAATAAACCACCTTAAAATTAAGGCGTATTTTACTAAAATAATATTTAGCAGTTAACAATTACCTTACAATTAAGGCACATTTAACTAAAGTATTCCTTACAATTAAGGACTTTAGCAAACTGCTAATTCTTAGGGACTTTACGACTAAAGTCCAATAAACCACCTTAAAATTAAGGCGTATTTTACTAAAAATAATATTTAGCAGTAAACAATTACCTTACAATTAAGGCACATTTAACTAAAGTATTCCTTACAATTAAGGACTTTAGCAAACTGCTAATTCTTAGGGACTTTACAACTAAAGTCGAATAAACCACCTTAAAATTAAGGCGTATTTTACTAAAATAATATTTAGCAGTAAACAATTACCTTACAATTAAGGTACATTTAACTAAAGTATTCCTTACAATTAAGGACTTTAGCAAACTGCTAATTCTTAGGGACTTTACGACTAAAGTCCAATAAACCACCTTAAAATTAAGGCGTATTTTACTAAAATAATATTTAGCAGTAAACAATTACCTTACAATTAAGGCACATTTAACTAAAGTATTCCTTACAATTAAGGACTTTAGCAAACTGCTAATTCTTAGGGACTTTACAACTAAAGTCGAATAAACCACCTTAAAATTAAGGTGTATTTTACTAAAATAATATTTAGCAGTAAACAATTACCTTACAATTAAGGCACATTTAACTAAAGTATTCCTTACAATTAAGGACTTTAGCAAACTGCTAATTCTTAGGGACTTTACGACTAAAGTCCAATAAACCACCTTAAAATTAAGGCGTATTTTACTAAAATAATATTTAGCAGTAAACAATTACCTTACAATTAAGGCACATTCAACTAAAGTATCCCTTACAATTAAGGACTTTAGCAAACTGCTAATTCTTAGGGACTTAAAACTAAAGTCGAATAAACCACCTTAAAATTAAGGTGTATTTTACTAAAATAATATTTAGCAGTAAACAATTACCTTACAATTAAGGCACATTTAACTAAAGTATTCCTTACAATTAAGGACTTTAGCAAACTGCTAATTCTTAGGGACTTTACAACTAAAGTCCAATAAACCACCTTAAAATTAAGGCGTATTTTACTAAAATAATATTTAGCATTAAACAATTACCTTACAATTAAGGCACATTTAACTAAAGTATTCCTTACAATTAAGGACTTTAGCAAACTGCTAATTCTTAGGGACTTTACAACTAAAGTCCAATAAACCACCTTAAAATTAAGGCTTATTTTACTAAAATAATATTTAGCATTAAACAATTACCTTACAACTAAGGCACATTCAACTAAAGTATTCCTTACAATTAAGGACTTTAGCAAACTGCTAATTCTTAGGGACTTTAAGACTAAAGTCGAATAAACCACCTTAAAATTAAGGCGTATTTTACTAAAATAATATTTAGCATTAAACAATTACCTTACAACTAAGGCACATTTAACTAAAGTATTCCTTACAATTAAGGACTTTAGCAAACTGCTAATTCTTAGGGACTTTACGACTAAAGTCGAATAAACCACCTTAAAATTAAGGCGTATTTTACTAAAATAATATTTAGCATTAAACAATTACCTTACAACTAAGGCACATTTAACTAAAGTATTCCTTACAATTAAGGACTTTAACAAACTGCTAATTCTTAGGGACTTTACGACTAAAGTCGAATAAACCACCTTAAAATTAAGGCGTATTTTACTAAAATAATATTTAGCATTAAACAATTACCTTACAACTAAGGCACATTTAACTAAAGTATTCCTTACAATTCAGGACTTAACAAACTGCTAATTCTTAGGGACTTTACGACTTAAGTCGAATAAACCACCTTAAAATTAAGGCGTATTTTACTAAAATAATATTTTAGCATTAAACAATTACCTTACAACTAAGGCACATTTAACTAAAGTATTCCCTACAATTAAGGACTTTAACAAACTGCTAATTCTTAGGGACTTTACAACTAAAGTCGAATAAACCACCTTAAAATTAAGGCATTATTACCTCCTAACTATTTAAATTCATAAATGTATAATAACAATAATGGATGCAAGAACATTATGTATAAAAAAAACAAATATTTCACTAGCAATTTTCAAGTAAATGTGCAAACATAGTCCTTACAATAATTTGATAATATATAACTATCACATTAAACCACAATTCATATCAGTCCCAAGTTCACTTTGGGACTAAGATGTAAGGTAAATAATTGTCTTCTTCACTTGAGATCCAGGAAATTTCACTTTTCACTTGTTGGTATGTACTTATTATGTAGTCGATCCGGAATATTGGCATGTTATCCGCTATACCCAAAATCCGCTACTGCCTAAACAACTGTATCTCCTGTATCTCTGGTATAAATAACGTGGCCTAGGTCTGAGAATAAACTGCAACACCACAATGTTGTATCAAACTTGAAATGTAGCGAAAATGTTGACTATTCACTAAACAAGAAGTTCCAGTGATGCACTAGTGAAACAATATCGTTTCCACCTAATTGTACGATAAAGCATTTTGGATGCAGTTCTGATACACTCAGTTCTCAACAGTTAACGTGGTGTTTATTGTAAATCTTTCCTCCATTTATACTTCGAAAATGTACATCTGGGGCCGGGCTAGCATCGTTTACCTTTGTTACCCTTTTGTCGAAGAAATCGTTCCAACCAGTGTATATGAGATGTTCCTAATATTAGTATAGACATTTTACTAACATAAAATTGAAGAGTTAAACATCCACCGGTGTTTTTATACACATTATGCAGTAATCCAATCGCAAAACGTACTGTAGACACAGATTCCTTTGTTTACAAAAATGTGAAAACAAAGACAGTCAAAATACCAAACTGTGGCAAACATTCCTACAGTGTTAGCTATTGCCAGATAAGTTGTAACCTTCCTTGACTAATGAGCGATCAAACAAAGTATAAGTACCGTGTATAAAAGCAATCTATTGAAAATTGTTATGAATTATTTCTTCTTCTAAAATGGCGGACTTAATCCGCATCAATTATCACATTGTACTTACTCATAACGATAACCTTAGTGTACTTACTAGTACGGCTTTTTCGAACCCAATATATTTCGACCTATGACTAAAGACCTAATGGAACCCACCATCAAGCTTGTAAGTGACCATAAAAACATTTATTTTGCAATAAATTAAGTTATAATACAGAGCAATAGTATTTTTTTTTAATTTAAGTAACGTGTTAAAAATGAATTGTTATGTAAAAATTCTCTTGCTCTCGCACTCTTGTAGTACAAAATAAGTACAGAAGCATATTTAAAGTTATGCAGAATGATTGCAAAAACGGGTAAAACTAAAATTATTAATGATAATTAATTTCAGTTCTGATATATGTTTTGGTACTGTATCTCTTGGTATTGGACCATTAGAAAAACGTGGCAAATAAAAAGGGACACGAGAGAGCAGCATTAATGTGTACACATCCAGAACAAAACATCGCCAGTGGGACGCATATTGTTCTATTATTGTCTTTACAGGGTTTGGACATGATCTGGCTAGAAGACTGGACAGTCTACAGTTTACAGTTTTTGCCGGGTGTCTTCATCCAGAAGGTGACGGAGCTAAGAAATTAAAGGCAGCGTCATCCAAACGCCTGCATGTTGTTCCCCTAGATCTTGGATCAGATGAAAGTGTACAAGAAGCACATGGCTATGTTTTAAAACATCTACCAAGTAGTGGTAGGGTATTCTTTAGATGAAGCAAAAGCCGTTTCTGCAAAGCTTTCTTTCTGATGGATTAAACTCATCTCAAATAAGTAATTGCACGTACTATTCCGGGGACATAATTACATTATATCAACATACAGATCTGTATCTCATATTCAAGAAGAAAGTTTTACCTATATACATAACATAAATGAACATTTCTTGTTCTTTATCCTTATGGATAAATGGTGGAGCAGCAAGTTTTTATAAAAGATTACATTCCACTTTTATGTCAAAATTTACGCCAGCTTTCTAATGATATTCATGAATACCAATGACTAAGTCTCGAATATTAACTTTATTTCCATGCTTTTTATGTAGGTTTGTGGGCGATTGTAAGTAACGCCGGATTTAACGTCATGGGCGATGTAGAATTGTGTACCATCAATTTGTACAAGAAGGCCATGAATGTCAACTATTTTGGTGCTATACGTACAATCAGAAATTTCCTTTATATGGTCCGTAAAAATAAAGGTGAGGTGATGGCATGTTTTGTGACTGGACTAATAAACACGTCGTATGTTGTGAGCCTAAATTTAAAGAAAATAGTTAGCCAATAAGTAACATTGAAGTTTCAGTTTTAGAATTATTAAATTTATGATAAATGTTAATTGTCATAAAGCCTCGTGATCAACAGAACACCAGGAGAAATAGTGAATTTACTAAAAAAATAAATAACTAAATAGATTAATAAATAAAAAACGTCCTAATACAATGTGCACGACTAGATTGGTATCTTAACCCTTTTGAATTAAAGTGATCACATTATGTTTAATCGTCTATTTTTTCCCGTGTGTTTCAGGAAGGGTTGCAATTGTATCAAGCGTAAGGGGGCGGTTTTCATTTCCGGCTGATTCAGCATATCACGTGACAAAGCATGGACTGGAAACAATGGGAGATAGTCTCAGGCTAGAGATGCTTAAGTTTGGTGTTCAAGTGTCAATAATCGAACCCGGTTCTTATGCTAACGTCACTTCATCTCTAAATGAACATGTTGTAAGATCTTTTTAATTGTAATTGCTACTTGTTCCGAGAAGAGAGATATAGTTTTACACAGGCAAAGTCATTTGCTCATTATAATAGTGTTAATATATTACATGTAATTTCAAATTATTTGGAACCGCATATTTCTTCAGAGGTATCATGGTCCATTCATTAGCAGTGTAACGTCTTCTGATAAAACCATGTTATTCAGCGTCTTTTACATGTACATTTACCATGCTTGCCCACTAGTGTTTTCTTAAATATATATCATAAACAGTGCTTTCCATGTTTTCTCGAGTTGGCTAGCTGTGGCAGCAATAGAAAGACTTATGGAGTTTGCCAATTGCATACACCAATGAAGCATAAAAATATTGTTTTTGAAACTTCAGTTTGACCGATACAGAGAAGAGGCGGATGAGATGTGGAAAGCAGCGACGGAGGATGTACGCAAGACATATGGTAGAAAATACGTTGACGCGGAAATTGCCAAACAGAAAATTGGGGGACCTGGAAATGCCTTAACCTCTAAACCAGTCATAGACGCTTTAGAAGACGCTATCGTTAGTGAACGCCCACATACAAGATATCTTGTCGATGGGGGAATCTGGTTTGACCGTGATACAGTGTGTATTTCGTTTAACTGTATGATCCACAGACAATAACAGTACTTTCATTCTGCTGTTATGATTCATAAGCAACTTCCAAAACCTAAACCTAATAATACCTCTGTCTATAATTAGATGTACATTTATTTACATTTTCAGTACCGATTGCATTCACCATATATGTGCGGTGCCATTTCATAATGAAACCGTTAGAAAAGATACATATACTACCAACGAGAAATATCAACAAAATCGCACTTTTCATGCAATTTTCCCTAAATTACAAGCAAGTAAAAGTATATCGCTACTTGCACTAGTACTGTTGGTAAACGATATCTTTTAACTTTTACCGAAAACTTTTTTCTGCTTGGTAATTGACTCACTGTCACTTTATAATTAAAATTTTGTTAGTCAATGATCAAGTGGGATAAAAATCTAAGTTTCATAGTCAAATTCCGGAACAGAAACTTGATTTCACACTTAATGAAACCACATCTATATATCAGGTTGTTTTATGGACATGGGGCTTAACAATATATTCATCAAACATGGGGCTCCACGTGTCACTTAAAGTTTAACTTAAATACGTGGCAAAATTACACTGATTTGTGTTTTACTGATCATTAGATACAGAGTTCGACGTTTAAGTGAGCTGTACAGTATTCAGATTATACAGTATATTTTATATGTTTGTATTTTCAGACCCTGGCCCGGTACTACGACTATCTTCCAACTTGGCTGACAGACTGGCTCATTATAAAATGGTCTGGTTGTGATAAGTTCCCGGACTACAAGAAGCTAAAGCTAGACTGATACATTCAGTGTAATATGATGTTATTAGAATTCCATCAATTGTTATTGTGAATATTAATTAAAAAAGTAAAGAAATTTGACAACAGTTACTGATTATGTCATTTCTTTTGAAGTCGCTTAAAATTTATGAAATGAATTCATGGGCCAGAATACAAATCTATTGAAATGAATTAAGGTTTCTCATAACTAATCTAAGTCATGGTTTCCTCAATATATAGGTTTTAGTCTCTTGTTAAAATCATTCAAAATATTTTAAATTTTATTCGATGGATACAATAGTCCTATTGACTTGTATCTAGTGGAATAGAAACGTGGGAATACTAAAGGCCCTTCAACCAGACATGTTTCTAATGTAAAAAAAAAGGTGGGAATCCTACTTGAGAACCTTCAACTCGATGTGCTGCATGATCTGTTATGTGTATGTAAGCTTTAAAGATGTATACAAGTATCTCTAAATTAAACTTACTCCATAAAAAAGTTGAATAAAATTATGAGAACTTTGATAATAGCCCAGCTAAGAAAAAAATGTTCATTGTCCCATCACAAAGAACAAGTGTTAATTTACTTGAAGAAAAGAAATATGATTAATGATATAATTTAAGTACATTCCTTTTTAAAGTTAGGACCGGAATACGTTCATTAATACAAACATGCCATTACAAAAACTTTGAAAAACAAAGACAGTAATTACCCAGCAAACATTACATATAGGACCGATATCGGCCCGATATCATCTTCAATGTCGGCCCGATATCGGCATCCGAAGTCGGCTCGACATCGGATGTGCAACCCGGCTCAAAGTCGGGCCGATATCGGATGCCGATATCGGGTACCGACTTACAGCCGATTTTTTACCTTCATTCCATAATAAGCTTTTTTTATTTCTTACAGCATATTGGTTTGCTTTCCTTAACATATAACAGAACATATATTTATTTTGCAATACCTTTTATTACATCAGCAAAAGTAAACATTCATATACATAATATATTTTATAATTTACACATGTATATACATACTTCAATGTTTAAAACCATGTATGTTTAACTTACGATTTTTCCTTGCTAACACACATAAAAATTTAAACATTAATGTTTACATGTTTCCAATAAAGATCAGTCAAAATTAAATTGTTTTAACAAAAAAACTTAAGTCATGTGACTGGCATATACAACCTTGCTATATTCATACTACTTTTTGTTTAGATAATGAAAGCATTTAAACATTATAAACACTATACATTTACTATAGCTAATGAAGCAACTTAGTGCATCACCGGTTTGGTATATTTCCTTAAAGGTGTTACGAAAGACTGCTTTAATTAATGCCATTTTACATGTGCATTATGTTATATATTAGCAGCTTCGGAACATTGGCACTTTGCTGGTAATAAGCTCGAGGTTCTTATGTTGGAGTTTGTTTTTTCCAGCTCTTTCTTTAAATAATATGGCCAATGAAAATGTTTCCAAAAGTAAATGCGTTTTCAATAGTATCTTATATTCTATGGTGAAAAAGATTAAGGTCTTGTTTATTATAGTGTCACGCCTACTGAAAGGGCCAGCCATTTCTGACTTTTGAGACACCTTTTGCTTGCAAACCATGTACCTCCCAACTCCTACCACTATACAAGGCGACAGGCGGATAGAAATCGTTAACCATTAATACTACCTTGCGGCTCACGACGAGTCCCACGAGAAATATTCATCCTTCAATTAACGCTACCCGTGGGGCTCGAACCATCGATCACCCGATCCGAAGGCGGACGCATTAACTAGGCCAACTGTGCCGGTCTATGTATAAATGTGGCCAATTCCGTGTTTTTCAAATTATTTGATAGCAAGGTGTTCCCGGTCCTGCTATATGGTAGCGAAATTTGGGGTTTTAAATGAACAGGTACATACTAGCTCTTGAAGGTAAAAAATAATAAAAAAACATCTTAGAATGCCTTATCACTAGGGGAATGAGGGCGTTATCCTCCCTATTTATTTTCTTATGTACATGTACGTTGTTTGAAGTATTGGTTAAAAGTAATTATTATGCCCGATAAAAGCATGTAAAAAATGCTTTAATTTTCTATTGAACACAAACACAGACTTTCATTTTAATTGGGCCAAAGAGATAAAACATTTGTTGGATATTCATGGTTTTAGCTATGTGTGGTACAATAATCAAAATTTAAACATTAATAAGTGTATTAAAGAGTTTATTGAAAGGGTTAATTCCCAATATTTGCAAAATTTGTATAGCGTTGTCGAATCATCATCAAAATTATCAGTTTATAAGAGTATAAAATTAAATTATGAACATGATGATTACTTAGATATTTTATTTGTACGTAAACTTAATTAGACATTGTTATGCTCAACTCAGAGCTGGCTCTTTCTCTCTTTAGAAGACACCAAGGAATTCTGAGAGAAAAAGACTGTGCAATAGATCTGAAATTGATGACGAGTTTAAATGTCCGGTAATGCAATATTTACGAAATTTATACATTCATAAAAGTATTTCTTATTCCATCTTAAATAAAATTACGTATATTGTTAAGTATTAGAAATGATATTTTAATAATAAGAAACACAGCTTCGTAAATTTTTACTCACTAGAAAAAAAATCTTAATGGAATTCTAATAACATTTTGTTGACTACTATACTAATATGTTAACAGCATTTTACGTATATATTTTTGTGTAACACCTTATACATTAAATTTTGTACAATTAAATTATGTTTACATCATTCATAATTATTATCCTTAATATAATTATGCATGTTGTTTATCAGTAGAATTATTACAATGAATATACTTCGTACATTTAAAGACAATAACATAGATAAAATAGATAGAATTTAAATAACAACATTTTGTTAACATCTTAAGTTGATATGTGTACAGCCACAGGGGGCCCACACAGTGTTTGGATGGTATATACTGCTTGATAGTGACCTTAAAATGAGATTTTAGTCATAACCTTATAATATGTATATAAATATAGACTATATTTATATACATATTATAAGGTTATGACTAAAATCTCATTTTAAGGTCACTATCAAGCAGTATATACCATCCAAACACTGTGTGGGCCCCCTGTGTGTACAGCTTAACAATTTACATGTAGTATGTTAACATCATATATTTCTGATGTATGTCTATTTATTTTTTTTAATCAATTTACATAAAAGGTTTAAAGTTTTCGAGTTCATTACACGAGTCATTTCTAAATCATAGTAAAACATTGATCAATATGCGGAATTCAGCGAGGCAGCCTTTTATAAACGCATTTTTGAATCCACGGTAGAACTAATATTGTCCTTTTCTGTCATTAATAGTCCTTAGTGGCTTTTACGGTAAATAAAGTAAGAACCAGCCTTCGATGACGTAATTGTGGTCACATGAGCAGTCTTGTGACTTGAATCATACAGCATAAAGAATTTGTTTTGCACGGACCTCAGGTAAGATAACATTAGATAATTTTGTTGTTCTCAATTTCTTGAGTACTTTTCAAGTGATAAATTATCAGTTTACATACTATTTAGAGATAAAATCATTTAAATTTTAGAAGAAATTATGAAGATTTATCAGTTTAGAGTTCTTTCTCTTTCAGTTTCAACTTTCACTCTTTGTCTTTGAAGTCTTAAAAAGAGCTACGTATTGTTCATAAAATGATGTAATCTCTTAAAGAAAATGAAATCTGACTTAAAAGTTAAGATTGAGGAGGATTGTTTTTCCTTTCATCCTAGTAAGAATAGTTTGAAATGCCTAAGCTAACAGTACTGAGATAGTTTTGTTCTGGGTCACTATCAGCTGATTATCTCACTTCTACAGGTGATATTACCCATTACGCATAATAGCACAATGTCACAATAGGCAGTACAATTAGTTAGAATACCTTTAACTTTGACAAGTTTCTGTTCACATGAATTTTGTTTTTGGATGGTGCAGTCTGACCCATAGGTGTTCGGCGCGTTGATTGGCCACTCTCCCTGGCGCTGCCCCCCTCCCCCACTCTACAACCATCCAGGAGTTGGTAGGGCTCGGGGATAGTGACCAATCAACACGCCTTACACCTATGGCCCGACCAGGACTTACCTGGGACCCTCTAGATACCATACTGTGACTATGGACTGAGCTGTCCAGCTTGCACACTATCTTCCCTAAATAGTGAAATATTCTGAACTGTGACATAGATTTATAAATTATGATTCAACTATACTGTAAACTAAGTCCTATAAAATGATGTTGCTTTTAAAGTTTGAGATAGTTTTACTTCTTGGCAAAACAACTTCATAGCGTCATTGCTCAGAAACCCATAGAACTTTTGATAACAAAATGTTGCTGAATGATAAAACATTTAAGTCAGCATATAAATATAGGTCGGGGACCATCAACCGGCTTTTTTTGAACATTTTTCCGTACAGATTTTATAATTTTTAACATAGAGTCAGAGACCTAAAAATTTGACAGTTCAGCTAGGTTCTTCTCCTAACTAGCAAACTAGTTTGTTTATTTCTGGTTGCATTGACATTTATACCTGAGGCTTACAAGGAGGGTATCAAAATCGCCTAAATTGTCTACACTACAGTACCATGTGTCCGGACAGATATGTACATGACATGATTTAATTCAGATAAACGCTTGGGTGTTTTGATTTGTGATTTTCAACATGATAAACAATATTTCAGCAGCAAATGCTGAAGTTTTGGATATTCTACTGTTTACTCGCAAAATGATTATAGCTGATATATGAGGTCAGGCATTGCTTTCTTGACCCCCAAATTTCAACGTCAACATTTTTGAAATAGACATTGAAATATTACCATTTAAGGAGGTTGAAATAAAATTATTTACTTAATTATAGAAGAAACATGCATTTATTGTTGATAAAAAAGTGATTGACAACCACTAAATAAAGAAAATACCCAAATTTAGCATTTTAGGGGCCGTCAGGGTTTGGTGGTTGTCCGGTTTTGGTGGTTCCCAACCAGTACATTAATAATAATTTAATTTTGACCAATTCATGAACAAAAATAAAAAAGAAATACCTTTTAAAAAAATTAATTAAACGGTCACATCTGAAAAATCATGGTTTAAATTCTTTAATTTAATTAGATTCCTTACACAGCCAATAAACAAATGGCCAAGAAATGCAAGATTAGTTTAACATAGTATATACATATTTAATACCTTGATTATAAATATAATAAAACAGGCTTTTATCAGTATATTTTGTATTTTTGCATTTTATTTATTAGTATATTTTCATAATATAAACTTATTCTGTAAAATAACTTATTTAATCATGTAAATTTATCGAAGTTTCCATTGTACAGGTATGTCTTTAATTTGCACCAGTTGACAAGATAAGGTGTCTCATTTTTCACGGTCCAATAAACAACTGATTAGTTGATGCTTTTAGTGTTTATACAACAGATTGGGTGATTAATCATAGTTTTTTGAGGTTGATTAGGTGATAAGATTAATGTTAATACCATATGTATATATTGAGAACCATTTTGCAAGATATATATTTGCTTATTAGTTCATGTACCAAAAAAAGGTAATCAGACAACCTGCTTTTTATTAGCTTTTACTTTTAAACTGAATGATAAATTTCATTCTTTATAATACTAATACAAGTAATAGCTAGTAATTGATAGAACAAAGGTTATTCACACAATAAAGATAACAATTTGATTAACATAATTTTGTTACATTGTGACTTTTGGGAGAGGCACTTCTTGGTACTAATGTCAAGTGTCTTGTGGTTTGGTACTTAAGTCACATGTATAAACATAGTCAGGTGATAGTCATATGTTCATTGCTGTTCTCATTATATCGTGTGTATATAAGCAATCATTGTACTACGACGGGATCAGTTAACTTCATAGCTGCGTAAGTGAAGGTACTTTGATAACGTGTGTGATTACCAAGTGTCGGAAGGAAGTTGGTGAGTTTGGAAAAAATTTGTATGTCGTGAATTTGTAATTGGGATCTGAATATTTGAGAGGTTTGCGTGGATGTGTTAAAGTGGTTTGCATAATTGTAAAGTGGTTATTCACTGATAAGACAATGGCTTTATTGATGATGTACTTGAGATACTTTTATTTCACAAAAAAAGATATAAAAAAACAACCAAAAATCAGTTGTGAATAATATTATATATAGAAAAAAATTGTCTAGCATAGTGGACGTTAACTTTAGTTGCAATGATTATGGAACATTTTAGAAATTCTATCGTTTCAATGCCACTGTTGAGTAAGTTTTTAGATAATCAATTGTAAAACTATTTCTTGTTACGAACTTACTCAATACTGTAACTTGAATAAGCTGTTGGTGAAATACTTATTTTAACATGTACAGATCTTTATATTTCATCTTTAGTAAATTTAAAAATTACATTCACATTTAAAGTGGAACATGTAGAGATTGTTTTTTAAGTTTGTAGAAGACAGAATATTTATTATTATTTTGAAATATTATGCTTTTTACATGGGTTCAATGTTGTGTAATGAAAATAATCGTGACTTGAAGTTCTATATATATTTAACATAACAAAAGATTTTTTTATACTGCATACAAAATAATCTAGGACATGGGAATAAGCGAAGCATATCATGTTTATTTAACAGTTATAAAACAGGATTGGAATACCAATAAGATGTCTAATGTACTACCTGTTTTTTAAATGGTAAAACTAGTTAATTTAATGAGTGTTGCTTATGATTGGTTAAGTTTTAAAATGAAGTGAAAGACAGTTACATTACTCAAAAGCACCTTCATATTTATCAAGATAACTTCTGATGGTAAATTAATATACATACAATGTATATATAGGGTAGGGGTGTCACGGATAGCAAAAATGTTAACCGTTTAAATAGCGATTAAATAACCATGTTAAACATTTAACCAACCATTCTAAAAGAATTTTGACATTAACTATTTTTGTTGATATAAAGATAACACATTTTGTGTGTACATTGTACTCAACAATTATTATAAAACATATTCTACTTGTCCGTAAGGACCGTACCACACAAGACACAATAGCATGCAACTTGAAAAATTAGATTTAAAATTAAAATGTCATATCTTGAGGTGAAGAAACAAATGTAAATAAAATATTTGTAGCTGCAGAGGCTATATGTATATAAATATTTATAATATTTATTTACATATTGTATTCCTTAAAGGTGAAAAAAGTGGGTTTTTTTTATAAAGATTTTGATCCTGTTGAGTAAAAGATATGTTTGATCTTGTGTCTTTTATATGCTTGTTGCCTTCTTTTATCTTAATAGCCTAGAGGATATATGAATTATTCATGAGTTTGTAAGTTTTCCTCAAAGTTGGAGCAGAATCACTGAGATGCAGCTGCTGACAAGGGGTTTGATATATCTTAAACGTCAAAGTGAGATCTTATTAAACTGTAATTGTGTTCTAAGTTGATTTCTTAATGTTTCAAAAGAAAGATTAGAAAAATTCAAATCAATAAAGTAAGTTTTTAATCAGTATCTAAATAATTTACCAAAAATTAAGACTATGAAAAATAAATGATGTTTGCAATAAAGAAAGGTTTGATAAAACTCAGTTCCATAAATTACGTAAATTTGGAATATATGGTCTTTAGATTGTCCAGTGACTAGAAGAAACTAATAATCTTGTTACTTGTCAAATTATAATTGGATTAAGAGAAACAAAATTAAAATTATCTTAAAAAGAACATAATACCACAAATAGAACATTGTTGCGCTATTGTCTACAGAAATGAAACTTTAAAGTTTATTATCTCAAGTAAGATCTTAATAATATTAATGTTAACTTTTCACTCTGAAAAGAACAAAATAAACTTTCAAAAGCATAAAAAAGAAACATTTTTTTCATGTTTCCCGTTATTTGAAAACATATTGATGGACAACTAGCATACAAACTTGTTTAAATTTGTTCCTCTTTCCATTAAGATTAAGCAGTGTTAAACATCGGTCTAACTCTCAGACTTTTTAATAAGGTCAAGAGGAGAGGTCTGCCATATAATAATGAGCTCACAATTAAGTACTTGAGAAGTATTTGGTTTAGACTGATTTTTTCCGACCCTTTTCCTGCTGACTTTGTGAAATGGACTTAAATATCCTTTACATTCCTTTGTAAAATGTTAATGTGAGGGGTTTTGAATATAAGCTACATGTAAATGTATGTTGTACATACATAAGGGGTTCGTTATCAAAATATGGAGGAGTGACAGCAAGGTTTAGTGGGTAACACATGCAACTGGTAGTTATACTGTTATCTCTGGTTCAAGCACTGTCAGGGGCAAGCTGTTGTTTTAATAACAAGATACTTTACACTCTTACACTGCCTAGTACTGGTTGGTTTCAGGAACCGATTTGATAGTGTTTCTCAATAAGATTATAGTTTTTAGCTCGACTTTTCTATGAAAAGGGGAGCTATCCTACTCGCCCCGGCGTCGGCGTCGGCGTCACACCTTGGTTAAGTTTTTCGTACCACCCAACTTTATTTCAGAAGTATTACAAGTATGGCTTTGAAACTTACCATACTTGTTCACCATCATAACCTCCATCTACAGACAAGAGTACATAACTCTGTCAAGGTTTTTGACAGAATTATGGCCCTTTTTTGACTTAGAAAGTGTATTGAGCTTGGTTAAGTTTTTTGTACCACCTCACTTTATTTCAAAACCATTGGAGGTATTGCTTTGAAACTGACCATTACTTGTTTACCATCACGACCTTCATCAACAGACAAGAGGACATAACTCTGTCAAGGTTTTTGACAGAATTATGCCCCTTTTTGACTTAGAAAATACATTGAATATGGGTAAAATCCACTTATTGCCTTAACCCTTTGAGATATTGCTTTGAAACTTTTAATGCTATTTCACATCATTACCCCCATCTGTACGCAAGAGAAGGTAACTCTGTCAAGGATTTGTTTTAAAAATTAAGGCCTTTTATCGACTTAGAATCTTGGTTAAGTTTTTAGTACCAGTCCACTTTTTGACTGAACTGTTTGAGATATTAATTTGAAAGTTGGAATACTTGTTTACAATCATGATTCCCAAACATGTCCAGGAGAAGGTAATTCTGTCAAAGATTTTATTTGAATTATGGCCATTGTTCACTTTAAAAATACAGAGATTCTTGTATTGCCTTTTACTGCAAAAACTTTTTTTATTGGCAAGCAATAAAAAAGTCGAGCGCGCTGTCTTACGGACAGCTCTTGTTTAGAATGCAATAAAACTAAAATAATTTCAGTATAAACTTAAATATTGGGAGTTATCAGTATAGTGTATATTGGATTAGATTGGTTTTTCTGAAAGCTGGCATCAGACTGACAAGTCTGGTGTTACTGCAAACATTTTTGAAATGGTTAAACTGACATTGCATTGCAGATATGTATACAACTTTGACATGGTAAAATGAATGTACATTATAAAATGTAACAAATGTTACATGTAAGTACTAATTGTACTTTGTTCTCTTGTTATAATTATTAATAACTATTCAAAGGAAAGTTGAGTTCAAACTTCAAAGTAACTGCATGAATAATACAGTGTACATTCATGAGTGGATTACTGACAGGAAGTGATGAAAAATCAGATGATGTACTGACTGAGATAAATATGTGTCAGAGAGTTGAACAGTCATGTATTGACCAGGAAATTATATCAATTTTATCAATTTAATTCTTAAACCTGCTGAATTTCTTAAATGGACTTGTCCAGCTTCCATTTTTGGAACTGTCCATTATAAAGTTTTAGGAATGTCAAGATGAAGTCAACCAACAGTATAGAGTCTGGTCAGACTGCATGATGTGCAAATTGACCTGCCTCGATACTGGTGGCAAAGGCCTGTAACTATCTGTCCCAGCAGGGTAATGCCTAACATTTGATTTATTATATACATTACATATACAATGTACTATGTTTCTTTGCTGTAAATATGACAGGGCTTGTATTAAGTTTCAAAATTTGGAAGTCAGAGATCTCTGATTTTGGAAGTCACATTATATAGGTAAAGAAGAACAAATATTAGATTTTGGAAGTCACAAGCCAAAATTGAAGAGTAAATGGCTCCCAAAGTTCCATTTACAGAAGCCTTGATATGAGCATATTCAATTGTATTTAGTCTATTTTTCTAATTATTTATACAGTGTTTGTCTTTTTATTTTAAAGACAAAAACACTGTTATTTGTTATGGTATTTTTGTTCTTACATGTTTATAAAGTTTGTTAAGTAACCATTATTAGCATATATTAGTTTGTTAAGTAACCATTATTAGCATATAATGTTCACTGCTAGCAAAATGTTATTTAATTGTACAAACATTTGTCAAGAACAAGTTGTTTTGCTTTTTTTAACAAATACAGCTTTATATAAAATTGTATGTAATGTTAATGTTTGGATTTTGTACTTTTGTAATTTTGATACAGAACTTTGATGAATTTTGGTATTTATGCTAGAGAAGATTTGCAAAACGTTTGTTTGTTTTCTAAGACAGCTAAAAAGCACAAATTTATCTTGCGGAAAAAAATTGTATATCTTTTGATAAAACCATGTCAAATTATAAACTAGGAAGTAATGTTATTAGATTGTATATCTAGTGAAATGAGACATTTTCAACAACTTTACATTATATGTAAACAAAATCTGTCAGCAATAAATCATGAAAAAAGTATATTATAAGATAAAATAATGACATGTAAGGGGAATATTGAAGATAATCTTTAGAACTTTAATAGTGATAAAAGCATTAAAATGTTGCCATCCAATCTTCCTCATTCTTGTCTATTTTTAGATTGTCACATGACCCATCATATGATGATGAGTGTGTCGAATTAAACATTATATATATTGTGATATAATTCTTAATTTCAGATATATATTAAACAGAAGAAAGATGAAGTTGTTGTTATGTTTCGCTGCTTTGCTGTCGTGCGCGATGGCAATGTCAATGGAGCTTTTGACTCAAGCTCGACATCTCCAGACCGATGTAGACGCGGGTAGATCAATGGAACACTTGTTTTCAACTTTTAAACAAGTTCACAGTAAGATTTTATTAATTTTATACTGTTGAAACTATGTTATCATGCACAAAGATTTTATTGAAAAAAAAATATAATCAAGACCAGCAGATTATTACATGTTGCTTGACTATACAAAGAATAGGGAGAGCTGTTGTATTCAACCCGGTATCCGACATCATACTTTTGTTAAGTTTTGATGTGAAAGTAGGTACCTCTTAAAGGGATTGGGTTGAACACAGACTTATTTTAGAGCGTATAAATAGGAGGTCACTGTGTAAGATTGGTAACACTAAAATTGATTTGAACAAAATTACATGTATGGCAGTTTTTGTGTCGCCTTGAAAAAGGCGACATATAGAGGTTACTTTTGTTGGCAGTGTTGGCGTCGTCGTCGGTGTCGGCGTCACCTTCAGCTTGTCCGGAGCATAAGTCAGTCATTAAAAGATTGACTTCAAACTTGGTATACATGCTTCTTATAATGACCCGAAGTGCAGTGCACAAGAACCGGTACTCTGCACTTCTTATTTTTTGAGTTATTGCCTCTTATTAATTTTCATGCTTTATTTTTGTCCGGGCCATTTCTCCTAAAGTATAAAATCTATGGACTTGAAACTTCATATGATGATAGATCTTTTTAAGAAGAAGTGCAGTCCACAAGAACTGGTACTCTGCATTTCTTATTTTCAGTTATTGCCCTTTATTAATTTTCATACTTTATTTTTGTCCGGGCCATTTCTCCTAAAGTATAAAAACTATGGACTTGAAACTTCATGGGATGATAGATCTCATTAAGAAGAAGTGCAGTGCCCAAGAACTGGTTCTCTGCATTTCTTATTTTTTTATTATTGCCCTTGTTAATTTTCAAACTTTATTTTTGTCCAGGCCTTTTCTCATAAATTATAAAAGCTTTAGACTTGAAACTTAATAGGATGATACTTGATAGATCTTATTGATAAGAAGTTATTGCCCTTTGTTGATTTTCAAATTTCATTTTTGTCCTGGCCATTTCTCCTGAACTATATTGTTCACAAGGCGACACATTCGACTCGCGGAGTTCTAGTTGAAATTACGCATTATCCAGTCTCTTGATTCACTGTCAAGCACTGAGAATAGCTCGGCCAGCTATCTTTTTTTAATATTCAATTTTAGATCTACTGAATTTGCGTAGTATACAAGTACATAGGGAAAAATAGTTATTTTATTTATTTCTGTGTTTAAATGTTTAACTGCAGATTGCGAAAAAATTCATTTATTTTTTTAAGTTTAAAACAAAATTATGTTTTGTGATAGTGTTATTAGTCCCCTACCGGTTTACCGGAGGGGACTTTAGGTTTACCCTCCGTCCATCTGTCAGTCCATCAGTCCATCCACAAAACTGGATCCTGCGATAACTTGAAAGGTACTGAAAATATTTTTATGAAACTTGATATATGGATAGATGGCAGTATGGAGATTATGCACGTCTTTTTCTTTTCTTCCTATGTTGAAAATTCTGGTTGCTATGGCAACAAATAGGCTGAAAATATGGCAAATTTTACACATAAACTGGATCCAGTGATAACGCAAAAAGTACTGGAAATATTTTTATGAAACTTGAAATATGGGTAGATGGCAGTCTGGAGATTATGCACAACTTTTTACTTTTCTTCCTATGTTGAAAATTCTGGTTGCTATGGCAACAAATAGACTGAAAATATGGCAATTTTTACACATAAACTGGATCCAGTGTTAACGCAAAAAGTAATAGAAATATTTTTATGAAACTTGTAATATGTGTAGATGGCAGTCTGGAGATTATACACGTCTTTTTCTTTTCTTCCTATGTTGAAAATTCTGGTTGCTATGGCAACACATAGACTGAAAATATGGCAAATTTTACACATAAACTGAATCCAGTGATAACTCTTTTAAAAAGTACTGGAAATATTTTTATGAAACTTGACATATGGGTAGATGGCAGTCTTGAGATTATGCATGTCTTATCTGTTCTTCATATTTTGAAAAAATATTGGTTGCCTTGGCAACAAATAGGCTTAAAACATGGCAAATATAACAATATTTGTGATTAGTCAAAAAGAGCTGAAAATGTTTATGAAATTGCATCTTTAATTCCAGAGTTATCTCTTTAAGAATTTTGCTTTTTAAAATGTTATATTTTGGTAACAGGGATGTTTCAAATATTAACTTTAGGGTGTCCTTCAGTCCGTCTGTCTGTCTGTTCATAAAAACTTTTTTCTGTGATCACTTTTAAAGAACTTTTCCAACAAATTTACTTAAAATAGAGAAAAATTTAAACATTAGTCAATGGCCAATGGCCCTTCAGAATGCTGATGGGGTTCTAACCGGTAGGGGACTTATGGATTGCTTGCAATACTATGATAATTGCTTGTTTCATAAGTTATTATATTTTTCAGAACGTAAATATGAAAATGATGCAGAAGAGAATATGAGAAGTAAAATTTTTGAGATTAATGTCAACCACATTAGAGAACATAACATCAGATATGCCAAGGGAGAAAAATCTTACTATCTTGGTGTAAACCAGTTCACTGACATGGTAAGACGATTTGGAAAGGATATTTGAACTTGTTTAAACAAATATATATATAATATCTCACTAGCCTTAAATGATAATGCTCAACTTTATGTACATGTAGATACTGAAGGTCGCCTTCCACACATTTGAGCAGGATAATTTTCAAATGATAATGAAGATTTGTTTATGATTCAATCATGATGATTATATATTCATGATTGATTCATGAATGAAATTGTTCATGATTTAATAATTGATTATTAAGTATAGATTAACTCATTGATGAAGATTTGTTTATGATTTATAAATGGTTGAAGGCTTGTTCTGAATGAAGGTAAATCATGGCGGTAGGTTCATTCAAAAATATTTGTTTATGAATAAATCACAAATCTTCTGATCTAATCATAATAAAAATGTGTTAATAATTTAGTTATGGGTGAAGATTTGTTTATGATTTAATCATGAATAAAGTTTTGTTTATGATTTATTCATGAATGAAGATTTGTTTATGATTTATTCATTAATGAAAGTTTGTTCAGTTATGAAGAAAATTTATTTAGATATAATCATGAATGCAGATTTGTTTATAACTTGGTGATGAATGAATATTATTTTTATGATTTAGCTAAAAATGAAGCTTTGGTAATGATTTAGTCATGACTGAAGCTGTGTTTATGATTAAATAATGTGGCAAGTTATAAATTTTTCCTTTACACAGTAACTTAAACATAACTTTGAAACTAAACTCTTTAAAATGAGACTGCTTGCCACAAAATTAAGGGAAACATTTAATGTGTACTTAATATAAGAATAAATTTGAACTTTTGTCTCCATTTACAGACTCATAGAGAGTTCCTGAAGTTGTATACAGGGCACATCAAAGCTGTAAATGGGTCTATAACCAAACCATCAACTTACCTGACCCCGTCCAACATTCTTCTACCAGAGAAGGTTGACTGGAGGGAGAAAGGATATGTAACCGAGGTCAAAAACCAAGGACAGTGTGGCTCTTGTTGGTCATTCAGTACTGTAAGTATATATCATTCAGTACTGAAACATATATTTCATTAAGTTTGGAGGTATCAACTGGTACTTTAAACTGATTTCATTCAAGAGTGCTAGTACAGTTAAGAGATGTCCACAGAGCAGCTGACATTCAAGCATTTTCATAGAAAACCCTAATTCAAGTAGTGACTTGTGGTGACTTAGTTGTGGGAAACATAAACTCAGAGCAGAAAGTTATATCATACACAGGATACCAAGGTCTTGTATGTGGGAACAACTTACAAAAAAAGGAAAAAGAGTGAGTCATTAAAGGTCTGGCATGTGTGCATAATTTTGTCCATTTTCCCAACCTTTAATATACTTAAAGAAAATATAACATTTTGGGAGTAAAAGTTCTGTCACACATCTTGGTGTTTGTGGTAGATTTGTCATATTTGCATGGAACCACAATTTCAACTGGTCCATAGTGGTGTCCTTTATTCCTCTTTTGAAGCCAATCATGTGACACTTGCAATAATGTCATGTATGTGCTTAAGTGTTGGCACCTCTTGCACAAATTGTGTCATAGTTATCAAATTTTCAGTTAGCCCCATAAGTCAGTGGCATATTGAAATCTTTAGAATATGAATTGATTTTTCCTGAATTCAAAGCTGGTCAGATCAATTTCCAGTACAAAAAGTAAATAGGTGAAGAGATAGTAATACAATTGCAATTGTTTGTCTGTCTTTAATATTTAACTTTTTTGTCTATCATTTTAGACTGGTTCCCTTGAAGGACAGACTTTTGCCAAGAAAGGTAAATTGATATCTCTTAGTGAGCAGCAACTTGTGGACTGTTCTGGTTCATACGGGAACCAGGGATGCAATGGCGGTCTTATGGATCAAGCTTTCGAGTATATTAAAGCTGTCGGAGGTATTGAAAGTGAACAGGACTACCCATATGTTGCTGAGGTTTGTTTTTTAGCTCGACTATTAGATAAGAATAAGTAGAGCTATTGTAGTCACCCGAGCATCGGCGTCGGCGTAACCACTTATGTTAAAGTTTTTGTAATACTTCAAATATTTTCAAAGTCCATTGGCATATGGCTTTCAAACTTTGCACACTTGTTCACCATCATTACCGCAACCTGTAAACAGGAGGAGGTAACTGTATCAAGCATTTTTTGACAGAATTTATTATTATTATTATCAAGCGCTAAGAATAGTCAAGTGTTGCTGTCCTACTGACAGCTCTTGTTTATTTGTCTAGTTGATTAAGTATTTTAATAATAATGAGTTTTATTTGAATACTTTAACCTGTTCAGTTATGAGTAAAACTAATGTTCAACTAGGAGAAAATGGTTTTAATTGACAGAATGGTTGGTCTCAATTGAAATTAAAAAATACAAGATTTATAATATGAAAAGTGATGTCAAGT